CATATGAACTCTGATTTCAGCGAGCTTACAGTCAAACTGAGCGTCTTGGAAATACGAACCCAACGACACCAAGATCAACCCAATCCGAGCCCAAATGAGTCTGAATCAAGGGTTCAAAGCGCTGTTGGAAGATTCAAACCGCAATTTGAGTAACCAAACGGTCTCCGATTTTGACAAGCTTATACTCGAATCGAACGGATCGACGAGACGAATCCAACGAGCCCAAGATCATGAAATTCCAACATTATTAAGGCCTTAAAATGACCAACGAACGGTGCATGATCAAAGGATTCGATATCGGCAGTCCATTCAAACCACTCCCAATTCGCCCTTAATCTCACGCCTATTTACGGGCTATGCCACTCCAGAAAAACTATAAATAGAGCCCTCATTCTACACCAAAAGGACTCAAGTGAAGAGAGAGAAGAAGAAGAGAAGGAGAAGGAGAAAGGGGAATAGGAGATTCCTCACCTCCTCGACCACCGCCGCCGGAGCTCTTCCTGCCGCCTGAAGACGCCGGAACTCTGCCGGATTTTCAGGAAACGCCAGGAATTTGCAGAATTTTGTAAATTTTGTGGAAGGAACGAATTGTATTTGGATTATCCCGATTTGTGGGACGAAATCCGCCATTTGTAATCTCCAAAATACTAGTGGAAATTTACAACTGGGCGAGGCCCCGTGGTTTTTCCCATTTTTGGGTTTTCCAAGTAAAAACTCTTGGTGTTCACTCATTTTTTTTGTTTGTGTGTTAAACTTACGTGCATCGCTCGGACGCGAATTTACAAACTCTGCCGCCGCGTATTTTCTAACACGCAACAAGGCTGATCTAGAGGTGAGACATTTACTCATCACTTGTTGATTGTGCAGTATCATCCTATCATTTTCTGAGTAGATAAGGGTGTAATGTAATCCAATGCTTCTGTTGTTGCTGATAAGGATGATGACGACAATCCAATAATTTTGTTGTTTATAAGAATGAAGATGACTACAATCTACCACCATTGGTAGGCAAACATCGCGAGGTTCTCGCCATTTGACCTCCATTTCCTAACAATTTTCACCTTCCACTAACTGAGATCTACACATCACTTGGCCATAGGGGTGTCAATATTTGACAGGACCTGAAAATCCGACTCCTACCCAGCCATAAAATTTTAGGTTAGGGTCACCCTGAACTCGAAACGGGTCGGATTCAAGTTCACCAATTCGACAAGTTTCAAAAATCGGGTCGGGTTCAGGTTGACCCTTTGACCCGAAATTGACCCGTTTTGACCCCGACAACCCAAAATCGACATGAAAAGCGAAGATTGACCCATTTTTGGACCCGAAAACTAGCTGTTTTTTGTTTGCACCGAATCATTATGTGGAAAGATAAAATTCTACATATTTCTGTAAATTTCTAACACAATAATTTGAGCTTTTCAGTGTGAAATCATTCTTATTGTTTGACCGCTCTCTTTTGCTTTCACAACTTAGGCAGAATGCGGCACCCAATGCATGAAAAAAATAATTTTGAATTTTATTCATAAAAAAAAAATATTAAATTCTATTTTGGCTGCTTTAAATTACAAATGTCTCTATCCCATTAGCTGGATAGCTTTATCATTCTTTTTACGCCTCACAATAATTCATTGTAGAATTACAAGAAATGCCACTATCACGTGCCTTTGAGTGGATCTATTATGATTGACAAGAATTAAATAATTTTGGTTTGGAAATTGTGCTTAAAAGTCTCTCTATGTGTTTTAAGCTTTGTGAGAAATGATCTAAGACTTATGTGAGAATGAAGAGAATTTATAAGGATTTAAAAATATTTGGGGAGCTCTAAATCTCACTTAGGTTTAGTTTGGGACGACTTTCTTATAATTTCTTAAAGTAAATTTTTTAGTACAAAAATAAAATTTTTTACTAGAAAATTGCTTTAAGAAACAGTAAGAAAGCCGTCCTAAGCGAAACCTCAATCAAATGATATAAGAAATTCAAAATTTACTTTTTACTAATTATTTATAGGAATTTAAAGGCTAATTGAAAAATTACATTAAAAAAGAATAAAAAATATATTGATTTGAAGGACTCTTAATGTGGACTTCCTTGAACACGTGTCAACACATGACTGGTGTAAGGGGCGGCGCTAAACGATTTTTGATAATATGTCTTTTGGAGCGAGTGTAGTAGTGTCGAATCAGTTCGAGCGACTTGTTGATTACATGTTAGACACCTGTGGAGGTATATTCGAGTATACATTGTTAATATGTTTAAATTCAAATTTAGAATGATTTAAAATTAATATTAAAAAAAAAAAAACAATTCACCTCTTATATAAGTGATGCTCCTATTTTTGGTTTAACTCAAAATTTTCATGTCGGCCGAATAAGGGCACGCTTTACAAGTTTTTATTTACTGACGCTTTTAGCCCAACACGGATGGCATTCTCCGTGTGAAATCAAATGGAGGCCCAAAAAAGAAGATGCGAATCTGGCCCACTATTTTATTTGAGAAAGATTAAAGTGGCCCACCACGTTTATTGCCGTGTAGGGCCCACCACAACTAATTCACTATTTAAGCATACGCAATCTACAATATGGATCGCTAAGATTTCTTTCTCTCTGTATTCCTAATTTCTTATGGCTGCTCTTCTTCTTCTTCCTCTGCTGTTCTTCTCTTTGATGTCGACTGAGGGAGTCGGACAGAATGTGGTGCAGAAATCGGTGTACGTGTTCGGAGATTCATTGGCCGACGTGGGGAACAACAACCACCTCGTGACGATTCTTAAGGCCAACTTTCCACACAATGGCGTCGACTTTGCCGGTGGCAAGGCCACCGGCCGCTATTGCAACGGCAAGAACGCCGCTGACTTTCTCGGTTTGTCTCTCCTTCTTCAGTGTTACATTCAGTGGATATTTCTTGCCTTTAACTGAGCATTTATAAGTAGTTCATATTTTTATAATGATAATGTTTGATTTTTTTAAAGATTTACAGACATCCACACAAAAAAAAAAAAATTATCACTTTAATATTTAGAAATTTGACTGTGCATAAATAAATAGAAAATTTTATTAATATTTAGAATATATCTGAATCACTTCAAAATATAAAAATATATTTTATTTTAATATAATAATATAAATGATATTTTTATATAATTTAGTATTTTAAATATATTATAAATAAATATAAAAAATTAAATATTAAATAGTCAAAGTCAATACTTGAGGTATTGCAAGCTGCTTGAATAGGCTTTCTTTCATTGAAAAAAAATGTTGTTTTTTTTTTATAATTTTTCAAATTAATACATTTTTAACAAATTTATGCTCCCAAAATAAATCCATGAATTTAGTTAATGTTTGAATTGCATTTATTTTCATTCATGTAATATTATAAGTGAAAAAAGGATGAATATATAAATTTTATGAATGTGTTGAGAATAATTGTAAACTTAAAAAATTATAGAAAATAAATTGGGGGAGAATACTGTTGGAGATACAATTTACATTTTTGTCACATAAGATTATGACATGTGCTCCTTTTGTCTATATTATTATTTCCTAATTTTCTAAAAAAAAAAAAAGAGAATGCTAGAGAGAGAGAGAGGGAGAGAAAATTTAGTAACTCATGTAATTGCATATTGCCTTTTATGCTAACCCACTTACTAATACATCAATATTTTGTAAGACTCTGCAATGGGTTGGAATGTAATTAAGGTTTTGTTTTGGGCAACTTTCTTAGCTTTTTACTTTTCAGATCTCAATTACAATTTTTATTTTACCGTTATTTTTTTTACTACTTTTAATAAATTTTTATGCTAATAAATTAATTTCTTTAGCATTTTTCAAAAAATCTGTCATCTTTTTTTTTTTTTGGGACATTTAGGCCATTTAAGCCAAACTCACACACACAACGCGTACACATAGACTCGAACCTTGGACCTCTTAGTTGGAAGCCCAAGCTCTCAACCAATAGGCCAAGGAGAGTTGTGTATAAATCTGTCATCTTCATAACATCTTTACAATAACCTTTATAAAAAGCTTCAACTGTCCCAATCAAATCCTAAGTCAAATGTACTTTTGAGTCAGCTCTTGCTCGATCTCTGAATTCGATTCAAATTGACTGATTCAAAAAACAATCAATACAAAATACTTTCTTCCTTCTTTTAACTTTTTTCTTATTTTTTCTCCTAGAACTTTTCATTCATTTTTTCATTTCATTATACCAATATTTTTAATACAAATATATATGTTTTTTTTTTTTCTTTCAAGATAAAAGAGTCAGCTCATGACCTATACATATTTTTTTCAAAGAATGTTGTAATTACAAAACTAAAATTATTAAAAGTACTCACTATTTCTCTCTGTCTCAAATCAAACAGCTGAGAAACTTGGCTTGCTATCACCACCACCTTACTTGGCCATCAACTCCAGCCCTAACAACTCACAATTATTCCTCAATGGAGTCAATTTTGCTTCAGGTGGTGCAGGAGTCTTAGACAGCACTAACAAAGTAATTAATCATCTCTATCAACTTCTTTTCAAGCTACATATGTGAAATTCAGCTATTACTGGCGGCTATGACCGACAATCCTATAGTCGCCAGTAATACAGGCGGTTTGACCGTCGGTTTAATCGGCGGTCTTTAATAAACCGCCGCCGTGGGCTGTACGCCGGTTTAATTTAATACCGGCGCCTTAACCGGACAGCTTACTATAGCCACCGGAACTTTAATCACGCCGCCGGTAATTACTGGCGGTATCCGGCAGAAAACTACAGGTTTAGCCGCCTGTAATACCTGCGGTTCTGACCGCCGCTAAACCATCGGAGATTAACCGGCGGCACTCCGGCGGTTTGGCCACCGGTAAAGCAGGCGGTTTTGACGGCCGACACGCTGCCGGTGATTAACCGGCGGTCACCGACGCTATGATCTTCGCCGTCGGAAAGCCGTCGGTGATTATAAAAGCCGGAAATAGACCACCGGAAACAATTTCCTACGCGGTTTTTACCGGCGGTTTGAAAACCGCCGGTAATTTCCTAGACCACCGGAAATCTTAGTCTTACCGCCGGAAAAAACCGCTGGTAATGCTTGAATTTTCTTTAGTGAATGAATTCAACATCAAAACATATTTACTGAAAGAATTTTCTCAGGGTGAATGCCTCTCACTGAACAAGCAAATAGACTACTTCTCTACTGCGTATGCATCAATGGTGGAGGAGATTGGAGCTGTCCAAGCACACTCACATTTCTCCAGCTCCATCTTTGCCTTTCTCATAGGAAGCAATGACATCTTTGCCTTTCTGAAGAACAAAAAAGCCACCCCATTGCAGTTTGTTGGCTCTCTCATCTCTACTCTGCAACTACAGCTGAAGGTATTTTTCTTTTCTTTCTGATTTTGTCTTGCTTTTATTCCATCTTCAATGCTCATATAAGCTATAAGAATATCTGTTGTATTCAGAAAATGTACAATTTTGGAGCTAGAAAGTTCGTCTTCATTGGAACTGGGCCGCTTGGTTGCTGCCCAGCGCAGAGGAAACAGAGTAAATCTGGGGATTGTGATGCCTCAGCTAATGCTGTTTCTAATCTCTATAATCAAGCAGCGGCTTCTCTTCTTCAAGATATGAAGTCACAGTTCAATGACATGAGCTATTCCTTCTTCAACACCTCTCTTGCATTGTTAGAACTCATTCATGACAGTACAAATTATGGTATGATTAATCACTTTTCAGTATCCTTTTCCAGTATCCATTCAATGTTTCTTTCCTTTTTTTGAAAATCTTAGAACACTTATTAAAATGTGTATATAGTAGTATCTACAACTTTACAAGTGTGGTTCAAAGGAGTTTAAGGCTTCTTTTGGGATAGTTTTCTTTCTACCTCTTAAAGCAGCTTTATTTTTATACTAGAAAGTTGCTTTAAGAAGCAGAAAGAAAGTTGTCCCAAACAAAGCCTAAAGTTCAGCATGATCTAAACTCAAGGATATGAGTCAAGGAAAAAATATATATTTTGATATTTTCTTAAATAAGCTAAAACTATGGCAGAATCTTTTCATTTTAAGAGAGTTCTTCGCATCAATTATCATTCACTATGAACTTAGATTCATCTTGACTAAGGCATCAGCTTGATTTGGTACAACTTTTTTTATTATTTTAATTTTCAGGCCTAAGCCATAATTTCTACTTGGTCATTAATTTTTATATGCTTTTAAGCTCGAGTCCAAATTTGGTTCAATTCGAGTCGAATTTGGTTCGAGCCGGCGCGACGAAATTAATCGTACGAAATTGAGTTCAAAATAACGATCAATTTAAATCAAGTTAGATGCGACGCAACGAAATCAAACTGATCAAGTCTAATTGAACACATTCGAGTCTGATCTGGCTCGAGTCGGGTCGATTCGAGCTCAAATTGGACTTGACGATGTTCGATTAAATCGATCAAACATGCTCGAGCATGATCGAGCCAAAATCGAGGTCAACATTTGTATTAGAAAGTTGTTGTAAAAAACAATAAGAAAATTATCCCAAACGAAACCTAAGTTGACAAAAACTCGCTCCGCCAACCTTAATTCAGCCATGAATTATATGGAGAAAATCAATTTAATCCCCAAGAATATGCAGCCATGGAAGTAGTTTGTTTCTCACTTAAGCTCAATTATATTTGATTCTAATACCATTTGTTAGGTCATTTTTCCCAAAATCTAATAGTGCACTAATCCTTAATCATATGCTCAACCAAAAAAATTGTGGGTTTATGCCCATATGAATGTTTTTTTAAAACTAAGGTTTCGTTTGGAACAGCTTTAGACTGTTGATTTTTTTCTAGTTTCAATTGATTTTTGAACTAGAAAGCAACTTTATAACGCAGTTAGAAAGCCATCTCAAACGAAACCTAAATAAAATAATTAGAATAACTTTCAAATTTATGTGTTGAAGGAATGCATATCAATAGTATAATTGCAAACTTAAGCTAGAATTTAGCAATTAATATGCAACTTATTGATGCAGGATTTACTGAGACAAAGGCTGCATGTTGTGGGTTGGGAAACTTGAATGCTCAGGTGGCCTGCACACCTGTCTCTGCTCTCTGTTCTGACAGAAAGAACCATCTCTTTTGGGATTTATACCATCCTACAGAGGCCGCCGCCGCGATCCTCATCTCCGACGCCGTCTACGGGACTTCGCCGCTTGTTTATCCACTGAATGTGAGGCAACTGAGTGTTCTTTGAGATTATTAGAGCATTCTCTAATATTTCATTTACTTCAGAGTTGCAAATAAAGATCATATAGAGTTTATGAAAGTATATAAATGGTAGCCAAATGGCAATGTTTAATTACTTAGAAATTGGATTTTGATGTTCTATAAAGCTTATGATTGAAGTGTATTGATTTTTTTTCTGAAAAAAAAAAAAGAGTAGTGGTTTTGTATGAATAAAACTTTTGCCATTTCTCAATATGTTGGAATTTGGAACTACATTGGTCAAGCAATATCATTAATGACACAAAAAGATTACATTTTACAACATGCATAATATGCGGAGGGTCAATGTAAATAAACAATTAGTGTTGGGGATGAGGAGTAAAACACCGTAATGACGAAACAAGCAAAAAGTAAAAATAGTTGAAAGTAAAAGACACCAGGATTTAACGTATAAAAACTCGAAATAGGAAAAAAACTACGGAGCCACACCACTTAAAAAATTGTCCATAAATCCAATGATAATAATCAACCTGTGTAGAAGAAGAATGCAGCTGCATTCTAACCTGAGAAAGTCTCACCAAAAATAGAGAAGTCAATAAGTAAACCATCTTAATCAGAGAGGATAATCGTCCAACAATTTAGACAATTAAAAGCATTAGAAGTGTAATCTCTTCCATATGCCCATAATAAAGCCATGAGAATCTTCTCCAGTAAATGCAACATAGTTCCAACCACAAATGCAAGTCAAAATATACTCGCAGAGAAACCAACAATAAGAAAGCAACCCAAGTTGGTTTGATCCAAATAGAACCAGAAGTATCAAGGTAGGGGAGCCCAACCCATATTTTTCTTTGGCATAGAGGTGATTTTCCAAGCAATATATGGACTTTGTTATTAAAATCTTTGCCATTAAAAATTGTTAACAAGGCTAGTGATTCTCCTCCTTAAACTTTTGGGAAGAGAAACAGAGCAAAATCAGTAATATATGTAGTTCTGAATTCAATAACTTTGCATTTAAGTTTGCATAAAAAAGATGCATTTGTAGTCATTGAAGTTTTGAGAGTGAAGAGACTTAGGAATGAGAGTGATAGCAAAATGCTTCACATGAGTTAGCATATTTGCACTAAGGAAGAATTGTTTAATAGCCTCAATGAATTTAGAAGTAAAGTCATCAAGCCCAAAGGTTTTATCATTCCTTATGTCAAAAGAGCGCATGCTTAATATCATCATAAGTAAAACCAATCATAATATATATCTGCTCCTCCATAGTAAGAGTTGGCCCAATAGGAAGGGGCACATAGTTTTAATTATAATGGTGGTCCTCCCTATTAAATAATTCAAAGAAGAAATGAATGACTTCGTGAGCAATGTTGGGTTTTGGTCCAATTTTAAGTTAGGTTGGTTTTTTTAGTTCATGTTATCCTAGTAAGACACAGCTCATTTTGATCTGTTGGTTAGGAGCTTAGGCTACCAACTAAGAGGTCTTGAGTTTAAGTCTTGTGTATGAGATGCGTGTGTGAGACTGCCTTAATTGGCCTAAATGTCCCAAAAAAAAGTTATCCTAGTAGTCTCATTTCTCAATAAATAAAGAGACTGTAATAGTGATTGACATGCAAGCGAATAAAAAATAGTTTTCTAATTTTTCTATCTGGATACAGAGTCTCTCCCTCTCATCCAAGAAAGCTTTCTTCCTCCTAAAGAAATCCCACCAAGCAATATCTTGAGTGGAGTGAGTAAGACCAAAATATGTGCTAATTTCCTAATATTTTTTATTTTGTTGTTTCCACAGTTTGAATGAGCAACTAATATTAATTTAAGAATTGACTAAGAATGCTCATCTCTATATCCAATTCAAGCAATATATATAGAATACTAATCTTCACAAAGGGTTATTGTTAAGGGGAATAAATAAAATACATTTTTTCCATCCATGGTTAATTTTTTTGAGGATGAAAATAAAAAAAAAAGTTTTCTAATTTTTTGAATAATTAATAAGATTTGAATGAGACTTTGACAAAAAAATATTTAATTATTTATAAATTTTGAATCCACAAATTCAAATAAAGGCTTCGTTTGGGACGGCTTTTTTATTGCTTTCTAAAACGGAGTTTTAGTACAAATTTTTTTATTTTTGTACTCATCACGTTAGCGGTAACAAAGCGAACCGTTTAAGTAAATTAGTAATAACTTCCGTACTTTCATATAAAACTTTTGTTAAAGAGTTAAAGTCAATACTAGGAGTCAAGCAAATTATTTTGTGTGGAGACCGGATGTAGAATGTCATTCGGAGACCAATTAGAATGCACCACGTTAGCGGTACCGAGTAGTATCTAGCACAGGGTGACATGGTGCATTTTGGTTGGTCTCCAGGTGACGTTCAGCATCCGCACAAAATAATTAACCTAAGCAATACATCTTTAAATCACAAAATTTTCATTCTAACAATATTTGGTATCATACCATCCTCCTATATTTCATTTACTTTAGGGCTACAATAGTAAACAAATTTATAGAATTTATGCAAATATGTAAATGATGCAAAATGGCAATCTATAATTAATTAAAAAGAATGGGGTTGATTCAAACTTTGTGGTAAATTAAGCTTTTGTCTGCCTCCATTTGGTATGGAGTAAGTTTGAACATAGTCAAAGTGGATGAGCTATTGATCTTATCCAATATTTGATTTTGATGTACCATAATTATTTATGTCACCTTCCAAGAAGTTAGAGCTTGAAGCACATCAATCACTGCATAAACTACCTACTTCCCTTCTCCTTAGCTAATTAGAAAATAATTGTATATTTTATTCATATCACATACATAGATATGAATTATTTTTTAGAGGATTTTGTTTTTTATGTCTCATAAAAAATTATAAAAATATATGCATGTTTTGAATGTAAGAGTGTACCCCGGCCCATCGAGTTTAGCTGGGTTGGTGGGTGAGCATGGTTGGGAACCCCCAACCCATGTTCAAATCCCTTCTCATGCATCGCGACTATTTAAGTGGAGAGAAAAAAACTGCGGGTCCTACATCTATGGAGCTAGCTAGTTGCTGGTAGGCTTGCCGAGGGATTATTTATGCCACCATGCGCTTCCTAAGGAGGGTGACAGCGGGTAGATACCCTCGTTCACACAAAAAAATGTAAGAGTAGTAAATATTTTCCTTATTAATTCTATTGTTTTTTTTTATTTTCCCCTCTTAGGGATGTTGGATAATTGTCAATGTCCGACACGTGTTGGACACGTTATAACCCTTTTATTTAAAGTGAAGATGCATCATAGGTCATAAAAAATTAAAGTAGGTTAAAATAAAATGTATCATTTCTCTCTCATAATTAAAATATTAATTCGATCTTCTTATATTCTTTGCATGCAGCTTAAATAGATCTGACTTTTAAGATAAAATTCTTATATTGCATAGTAACATTTGTCTCATATTTTTCTTGTTTCTCAGACTATGGGTGCCTGTCTTTAGCTGCTCCCTCCCTCCATAAAATCAAGGAGTCACTACTCTAAAATCACGTATTACCGGTGGATTTTCAAGCGGAAAAATTTTTGCCGGTAAAGCGAGCGTTGTAAAAGTTTATTTCGAAATAAAACCGTAGGAATATTTTTGTCTCATGCATACTTATGATTAATAAATTAAAATTGTTCAAAATTGGTTACTCTCCAAAAAATTTCACTTCATCAATACAATATGAATTGTGATTTCAACAAATTTATAATCAAAATAAATATCACAACAAGACGATCCCATTGACAACACAAGCGATCTGATTTGAGTTCAAATAAACTCAAATCAAGCACTTAAAGGATCAAATGACCTTTAATCTTCCGTACTTATAGTTAAAATGACCAGTCTCATGAGAAAAATTCAATGAGCATAAAATCACTTTATTCTAATATCATTAAGGAACTGAAATGTTGTGTAAATAATTTATGATTAAGTGAATCAATATGGGTCATTGAATAAAGTATTTTTTATTTTAGAAAAAATTATCAATTTCAAATAGCTATAAGTAGTACCTCATTTTCTACATAAAGGATGTTAAGTGATTAAAAGAGTTAGAGAATTCTATTACATTTTCTAACAATTACTACCAACAACCACCAATAGTAATCTCCACCACCATCTCTTGATTATGTCATTTGATTATTGCCGCCTAACTATCAGTATCCAATTATGTTATCGATTGCACTTTAACCTTCTGTCCGCAAACAATCAACTTTTATAATCCCTACAACGAATGGTTCTCAATTGTAGAATCCAGTCTAATTCAATTGCAAAGAAGAGCAGATTCTTATATCTATAATTATAGAATGAACTATTACAACTAATTAAAAAATCTAAATATTTTAGAGAAATTAAGATATTGAATCCTATTCCTCAAATTTTCTATCACATAAAAAAAAAAATATTACTAGAGATAATTCCGGCGCCGGCCACCCAAACCGGGTCGGGTCGGGTCAACCCCCAACCCGCCGGGTCGGGTCCGGGTTCGATCTTTCGACCCGTTTGTCTACCCGGGTCGGGTTAGGGTTGACCCGTTTGAACCCGGGTCAGTTCCGGGTTCGACCCGAACCCGACCCGTGACCCGAAATTGACACCCCTACTCATGACAAGGCAAATGGTCCACTTCTAATGATCAAATTTAGGTCTTGTTTGGGACAACTTTTTTATTGCTTTCTAAAACAGGTTTTTAGTACAAAAATGTATTAAAAACAATTAAAAAAAAAACAGTCAAAAGCTGTCTCAAATTAGGGAAATTATTCTGTGCGGATGCCGGACAAAGTTCAGCATCTAGAGCCAACCAGAATGTGCCACATCAACAGTACCGAGTGGTACCGAGTGCGGTATCGAGCTGTGGTACAGAGCGGTCTCTGGAAGGCGTTAGGCGTTTGCACAAAATAATTTCTCCTCAAACGAAGACTAATCATAGTTATTGAGGTGTAATAGATACCTATTGTAACACATACTTTTAACCCCCTTTACACTTTAAATAAGTTGTGTACTATTCCGTATACACTAAGAAAAATGTACACATCAATACATAGTTTCTTCTACCTAGCTTGGAAAGGAAGTGTAGCGCGCTTAGCAAGCTAAAACACATAGGAGCTCTGGAATAGAAATGGAAATGCCCCTGCGGGGATGGAGCGACAGAAGTATTCAGAATCCACTCGATTATTCATTCTCC